CCTGTCTCTCTCTCTCAGTATCCTTTTCCGTGAGACTTCCATGTACATTGTAAAACGATATCAGCATTTAATGGTAACGTTCGCCCATAATTATTTCTCAGCTTGTTGATGGTTTGTTTATTCTGCCCCGCAATGTAATAACTGTGTTCGGATTTATTATAACCCCTCCAGGATTTTCATCAGATGTGTAGACCTTGACCTCATGTAATCAGAAACCTTCCTTTAAATCGCCCGGCAGCGGCATATCCCCGCTGACCTAACGATCCGACAACCTTCAGCTCTCTGAATTAGGCAGCACTGATTTTAAGAATTTGGTCATTTAAAAAATACAACTTTTTAAACGGCGACATAATTTTTTCATTAGCGGCGTCTGCAGCGGGAAGCTTCGCTGATGGGGGTCTGGGGGGGATTTGAACTCCAAATCTGAGCGAGCTGAATGTCTGACGGGATAATCTCATAATTTTAGGGTAAATCCTCGCAGAGCAGAGGGAGCAATGTCTTATCACTGAATAGACCGCCATACATATCATACTGCCTACATGGCACGGGAAAGAACGCTCCGCTGGTCACTATAGCTATTTATACCTCTAACAGAGCTTCATCATAGATCACCTCACATGGGGGTATTAGATCTAAAGTTGAGGCTGTCAGACATAAATATAGGATTAAAGCTGAACTCCGGGATGAGCAAATATTGTTCTCATACAAGAGCCACGTGTATTCTTCCTTCAGTCGTGGTGAGCTTTGTGCAAAACATGGAGCTTCCTGTAATAAAGACCGGGCACTGCTGCTCTCTCTCCTTGTGCAGGGTGACTGGTCTTGTCTCTGCCCCCCTCCTGTAATAAACACCATATATACATACAACTATATATATAAAATAACCAAATATACACTTTGATGGCCCTAATAAATGAACTCCTATACATTTGTACACTATATTGCCAAAAGTATTGGGACGCCTTTACATGCACATGAACTTTAATGGCATCCCAGTCTTAGTCCGCAGGGTTCAGTATTGGGTTGGCTCCGCCCTTTGCCGCTATAACAGCTTAAACTCTTCTGGGAAGGCGTCCACAAGGTTTAGGAGTGTGTCTATGGGAATGTTGGACCATTTGTGAGGTCAGGTACTGATGTTGGAGGAGAAGGCCGGGCTCGCAGTCTCCGCTCTCATTCATCCCAAAGGTGTTCTATGGGGTTGAGGTCAGGACTCTGTGCGGTCAGTCACGTTCCTCCCCCCCAAACTCCACCATCCATGTCTTTATGGACCTTGCTTTGTGCACTGGTGCGCAGTCATGTTGGAACAGGAAGGGGCCATCCCCAAACTCCTCCCACAAAGTTGGGAGCATGAAATTGTCCAAAATGTCTTGGTATGCTGATGCCTTAAGAGTTCCCTTCACTGGAACTAAGGGGCCAAGCCCAACCCCTGAGAGACAACCCCCCACCATAATCCCCCCTCCACCAAACTTTACACTTGGCACAATGCAGTCAGGCAAGTACCGTTCTCCTGGCAACCGCCAAACCCAGACACGTCCATCGGATTGCCAGACAGAGAAGCGTGATTGGTCACTCCAGAGAACACGTCTCCACTTCTCTAGAGTCCAGTGGCGGCGTGCTTTACACCACGGCATCCCACGCTTTGCATTGCACTTGGTGATGTAAGGCTTGGATGCAGCTGCTCGGCCATGGAAACCCATTCCATGAAGCTCTCTACGCACAGTTGTTGTGCCAATCTGAAGGCCACACCAAGTTTGGAGGTCTGTAGCTATTGACTCTGCAGACAGTTGGCGACTTGTGCGCACTGTGCTCTTCAGCATGCGCTGACCCCGCTCTGTAATTTTACGTGGCCGACCACTTCCTGGCTGAGTTGCTGTTGTTCCCAGTTGCTTCCACTTTGTTATAATCCCAGTAACAGGTGACAGCGGAATATTTATTAGCCAGGAAATGTCACGGACGGACTTATTGCAAAGGTGACAACCTATCACGGTACCACGCTTGTAGTCACTGAGCTCCTGACAGCGACCCGTTCTTTCACAAATGTTTGTAGAAGCATCTGCATGCCGAGGTGCCTCATCCTATACACCGGGGGCCATGGAGGGGATTGGAACACCTGAATCCAATGATTTGGAGGGGGGTCCCAATACATTTGGCAATATAGTGTATTTGATACCTGTCCAATAAATTACATCATTGAGTAGCAGCGGTTCCATCAAATGTAACTTTATTTAATACACAAATAAGACATTTTACAATTCACAACATTGAAAGTATATATAACAAAACAAACAATCTTAAAAAAAAAAAAAAGTGCTTGCACATTTTTCCTTTTTTTTTTTTTTTTTATAAATAAATAGTACATTTGGAGTATTCTTTATTGACCTAAGTAGATGTCAACCAAGGAATGCTTGACATTGACACAACAATAACAGAACGGTTGGCCTAAGATTGCTTTGGTGATGATCTGGACAAGAACAAGATCGGCATCCCCTTGGTGAAGACTCGGAAGAGGCCGAACCTCGAGCTTTACCAACGCCGCCACGTAGCTGATGAATAGTCACCCTTCCAGTCTTTATTTTAGAATTCTTCCAGGTTAGCAAAGTGTATTCAGACAGATTCACTGCTGGGTAAACAAGCTCGGAGCATTTAAACCTCATTAGCATAATGCATAATTAGAAGTACCCTGACTCATTTTGATCACCGGGGATTCGAATCTCCGTAGTTTGACATCAATAATGTTTCCTTTAAAAACAAAGGCAATTCAAAGTTTCTCAGCGGGTATGGCTAGTGAACCATGGCAGAGCATCAGGGCTGGATTAACATAGGGGCTACTGGAGCACCAGTTCCAGACCCACCATTGAAAATAGGCCTGGATCACCTCGGTATGTCCAATGGCAATCCGGGCCGGCTGGGATGAACACAATCAGACACGGAGGCTGATTGCTGGGGCCTCACAGGGACCCAGCAAGGAGCAAGTGGCCGCCTAATTAGAGAACTGCCTCTGCTGCTTCCTGTCCAACTGATTGACAGCACCTGGCCCATGATGCTCTTAATCTGGCACCTGCAGAGCGTGCAGCTTTTTTCTTATTATAGTGCACAGGTGTCCAAGAGCCTCATTGTCAAGCTGGTTGAGCAACCCTTGGACCACTGCAGTCAGTAGGGCGAGTGGGATCATTGACTTGTAAAGGGACTTTAATGGCGGCCTTGTAGCATGGTTCCCCCTCTCTGTTTGTGTCTTGCAGTATGCACACAGTCTCCAACTACATCTGTTGCATATCCGCCGTCCCTGAACATCTAATATAGTATGTCCTCTGTAGAATTACATATTCTGAATATTATGTGTGGCCCGTTGGTGATGGCACTTAAGCCCTGCTATATCTCGTAAGTTGACCACCACTTGAGTATATACAGAAATACTATTCCAGTGTATCTGTATAAAATAAATCAAGGCAACTGGACTGGCTGTATTTTTCCTTGAAGACGTTTCGCTTGTCATCCAACTAGCTTTCCCAACTCAGAATGCATTTTGAATTGAGAAAGGTAGTTTGATGACCAGCGAAAAGTCTTCAGGAAAAATACAGCAAGTCTAGTTGCCTCGATTAATTTTTTTACAGATATACCATGACCTGGATGAATGAGAACATTCACATACTACTCCGTACTAGATATACTATTCAAGTGCCAGGGTAGAAAGGGTTGGGGGAATGCCATAGCCTAGGAGTGTACACACTATTGTGTTTGTTCGTTATATATCCTGCTCCGTTGAGGAGTGTTAAGTCCAAAGGCAAAGACTTTTTGACTTTGACGGTCACTGTTGACGGTTCCCAACATTTTGATCTGACCTGGCTGCAGCCAACGAAGAGCTTTGTACCCAAGTGAATTAACATTTGGTCTTCCAGGTGAAATATTTATTTCACAGAGACTGTAAACAGCTCATCTGTGAGCCCTAGTTGCGTCCGCCAGCTACTATGCCCCTACATGGCAGAGTAGTAGATTAGGGGGCCATTGGAAGGAACAACAACGAACAATGGGTGAGTCGAATACCTTCTGCACCCGGCCACCACAATCTGACCCGGGCTACAGCCAGGTCAGGTTCACGTCAACAGTCTTGTTATCATATAGGCTTCGCCGCCAGGAGCCTCTGGGTCCGCCTCCTCCCTTGCTACCCTTGGGGATCCCAATCTATTCCATTATGTTGAAGTCCCAAGTGAATTAACATTTGGTCTTCCAGGCGAAATATATATTTCACAGAGACTGTAAACAGCTCCTCTGCGAGCCCTAGTTGCGTCCGCCAGCTACTATGTCACTGCATGGCAGAGTACTAGATTAGGGGGACATTGGAAGGAACTACAACGCACAATGGGTGAATCGAATACCTTCTGCACCCGGCCACCACAATCTGACCCGGGCTGCAGCCAGGGCAGGTTCACGTCAACAGTCTTGATATCATATAGGCTTGGAGCCTCTGGGTCTGCCTCCTCCCGTGCTACCCTTGGGGATCCCAATCTATTCCATTGTGTTGAAGTCCAATAAACGCAGTTCAGGTGTCAAGATTAAGATTCGAAAATTGGCTGCTCGGCATGCGGCTTATCCATTTGATTTACGCACCTGAAAGTCTTGGCAGCGAAAGAGTGCCAGCCAAGGAGCCCGTAAAGTGTGATTCTCATTACAATCAATCCATCATTTGCATAATTATTCAACCTTTTCCGCACAAGTATGACATAATTATGCCGAGTTTTCAGCTAATTACTGCGCTCTGTTTTTCAGCTGATCACCGGTTTATTTGAAGAACATTGTATGTCATGAAATATAGCCGTTAAATGTCAGAAACGCAGAAGAAAAAATGTTGTTGCCTATTGAAAGGCGTCGTTGTGTAATGTACAACACCATAGGGCGTCTCTAGCCTGGGGGGGGGAGTCCATTATGAGGGGTGTTTGAAAAGAGAGCTCTTATATTCAGCGTTTCGGTTTAACGTCGCTTCGGACGTGGACATCCTATAGGAAAGGATAACACGAAGCTTAAATCTGTTTTATTTTCTTTAGGGCCGTCATTAGCAAATATGCATTGCCAAGTGACAGTCGGGCCTGGGAGATCCTCTGCCGCATGAATACAGCTGTTGATGGTCTCTGTTTGCCAAAATAAATATTTCGCCTGAAAGACCAAATGTTCATTCACTTGGGTACAAAGCTCTTCTTGTATAAGGAAATTCGGTGTAATTCAGAGCTACGGAACAGGATATCAGCAAAGTACTTATGAGGTGTGCATTATAATCATGGACATCAATTGGGGGGGGGGGGGGGTCAAGGAAGGGACTGAGGGCCCTTGATGTAAAGAGGTACAGTTGCCTCCTTTCCCCATCACCTGTCACTCTAATATCCTCATGACACCACAAAATTAGCAGGAAAGAAACAATCCTCCTATTTGGAACAGCAAGATAGCTTAATCTTGGCACCTGAGCTGTGTACATCGTGTCTTCTCATTGGCTGTGAATCAAAGGCCAGAGAGATTGGCTTGCTGCTGTGCAGTGACACTGGCTATGTGGTGCTACATAGCTAATAAAGTGAGGGGTAAAAATGTATATATGGATGATGTCAGTGAATGGTTGTCCTGGGGGGGTGGTGGTTGGTGGGGATAGATGGATCATGTCAGTGAATGGTCATTCCCGGGGACGTTTGCTGTCAGTGAATGCTCGTTGTGGGATATATGGATGATGTCGTGAATGGTCATCCTGGTGGTGGTGGTGGGGATAGATGGATGATGTCAGTAAATGGTCATTCTGTGGACGTTTGCTGTCAGTGAATGGTCATTCCGAGAACATTTGATGTCAGTGAATGGGCTATATGGATGATGTCAGTGAATGGTCATCCTGGAGGTGGGGGGGTTGGGGGGGATAGATGGATGATGTCAGTGAATGGTCGTTGTGGGAGGGGGTTGTGGGTGATCTTCCGGTGGATGATCATTACCTCTGGATCCAGCAGCCTCAGACTGCCACATAGGGATGGCCCAGCATGTAGATGCCTGCTGCACACCATACAGCCTTATGACTAGTGATAACGATGTAGGTGCTTAAGGTGACCCCCCCACAGATGGCGCTGTTCAGTTCCTCTGGAATATGAAGATCGGTCACCAGCTCTTAATAGCTCAATGTGCAAGAAAAGTTATTTTATTGCAAAATTGCGTCACATAGGTCTATAAGCCGGCTCATAGACCTATGTGACGCAATTTTGCAATAAAATAACTTTTCTTGAACATTGGATTATTGAGTGCTGGTGACCGATCTTCACATATCCTAAATGGGGCACCAAATCATTCCTTTTTCTATAAAAAAAATTTCTTTTAAGTTTTTTTTGCTTTAGCTATAATATAAGTCCACTCATAGAGATCCCGAACCATGCCCTGATATGCCCATATGCTGCCCGAACGATAATCGGTTTTGCTAAAGCCGACCTTTGCAGGTCAAGAAATGAAGAATTTCTTGACTTTTTTACCAAACCGAGCTGATTTACATATATTGTTGTTGTATATTGTACAGGCAGTCCCAGGGTTGCGAACAAGATAGGGACTTTAGGTTTGTTCTTAAGTTGAATTTGTATGTAAGTTGGAACAGGTAAATTTTTTTAAGTGTTACTTCAGCCCCAATTATTATTTTTTTTAGTTTTGGATAGTATAGGGAAGGGTTAACCCTCTGTAAAGTTTGTGTTGCTGTGTGCGCCCCTGTTCAGAAGATTTCACCTCGCTCTCTGTCCCTGTGACAATTGGATTTTGAAAATGTTGGGTTGTCATGGAAACAAGGATTGGTGATAAAGCTTCAGTGGAGACACCATTTTCCCCATGATCACTCTTACAGGAGGGAATTTCCCTTCCTACTTGTAGATTTCCTTTCACTTCCTGTTGTCTCAAGGACAGGAAGTGAGATTAAATCATTCTAATGAGGATACAGACAGCAGTAAAAACCTTACAGTGACCCCTCGTCTGCACGTCTCTTAACAAGAGCCAACTTCCTGTAATGTACGTACAGTACTACGAACCAGACCCAAAAAGGTGGGCACTCCTCGTCAGCACGGTAGCATTACAACTACCCCTGCTGTACAGTAATAGCCTCCGTTTGTAAGTAGGAGTCGTATGTAAGTCGGATGTATGTAACTCGGGGACTGCCTGTATCAGTTTTCTAAAACCCCGACCTTTGTAGGTGAAGAAATCAAGACTTTCTTGACTTTTTGCCCAACCGAGACGGTTTTCATTTATTGCTATTGCACAAAAAAACTTTTTAGCCTTTTTTTTTCCAATGGGAAGACATTTTGTTTCCCGTTTAAAATTTGAAGCCTTTGTTCCAGAAGAAACCTATTATTGTGATGTCATCAAAATGGAAAATATTCAAATATCTGATGGACATCGCACATTGAAAAAAAAAATCATGTTTGACATATTTCAAGAATCGAAGAAGTGGAAAGATCTGGCAAATTGCAGGTGAGTACAACGGGAGAATGGTAGAGGGAGAGGACTATCTTGTACTTTCAGCTGTTAGAATTGATTATTTTCTGCTGAGGGATCTCATCCTCAAAGACCAACCGCCATAAGCACAATCCACCGCGTATACCAAATGGAAATGTTCACCGTAACTTTCCGTTTCACATTCATTCCAGTTTGCGGATGTCCTCTCGGTGGCGGCAGTTGGTGTTCAGTAAAAACAAAATGCAAGGAGGTGACAGCTTCACTCCGAGAATGGGGTAGCTTTGACTTTAAACCTTTGTTATAATTTAATATTAATAATAAACCCACTCGTGTCATTTATTGTGGTCCTTATCTGCTATCCAAGAGTCTCCAGCATTGGCCTGGCTGCTTCTCTGTCAACAGAACCAAAGACAGCAAATAACAGATATCGCCTCCTTTGCCGGGTGTCCTTCTCTGCCGAGTCCTCTACGCACCCCTGGCGTAGAGGGCAGCACGTCGTCTCCAATAGCAGAAGATGCCGCTCAGTATTGAAATAGGATTACCTGCCGGGAGAAACAGTACAGTTTAGCGATCACCATACTGGTTACATGGGTTGGAAAAAAAGGCAACAAGTCCATCTAGTTCAACCAAAATTTATGAATACAAAACCGGCATCTTCAGAACTCAATGTTGACCCGCAGGAAGGGGAAAAAAAACTTTATAAAGCCCGGTCCAATTTGCTCCAACAAGTTTAAAAAAAAAATCCTTTCAGATCTCCTAAGTCAATCAGATACTCAATGGGTCAACATTCTGGAGTGCAATTACTTATAAATATTAATAGCCAGTTATATTTGGTGCATTTAGAAACAAATCCGTCCTATTTTAACACAATCTATTGAGTTGGCTGAGCTAGAACTAGCTTCTCTGGAAGTCCATCCCAGATTTGGGATGAGCTTCGGGTTTGGGTCGACCATGAGTTTGACTTGAACCCAAGCTGTTCACAGGTAGCTGAAGGGGAGAAAGATTTGGCCAGTACACCCACCCGCCGGACCTCTGTCTGAGTCCTAGCAACCAATTATCCTATGCGACTCGCGCAGTGTCATTGGTTGACTGGTGACTGAGCCATATAGTGCCATTGCTTGCTAGGTTACAGGTGGGTGCCACCATAAAAACCTATGAGGCTGTGGGGCCAGCAGCATCCTAACACAGTGTCATTGGTTGACTGGTGACTGAGCCTTATAGTGCCATTGCTTCCTAGGTTACAGGCAGGTTCCACCATTGCAACCTGAAGCTGTGGGTCTATCAGCATCTTAGCCATTAATAATGCTGTCTGGCGGCCTCACAGCTTTATTGGTAATTATGGTGCCCCTTTCTGTATCCTAGCAACCAATAATGCTATGTGATCCAGCTGCTATTGTCCTAGCAACCAATGGTATCATTGGTTGTTAGGACACAGGTGGCCCTTGGTTTGGTTTTCTTGGCCCAAGCGGCCATTTTGTTTAATACTATTTCACATTTTCCCATCTTTCCGCATTCTTGGGTTAAACCCCTTTCTCCCTCTCCCCTTCCTTAGATATAATACCAAAAATTAGATCTCAGATGCAACACGCTTCTGCATTACACTGCCTGGCTCTCCGATGCCCCAGGAAGTGTCTACGTACAACAGTCCCCCAGCGCCTGTTCTCCAGTGCATAAGCCAGACACTGCAAACTCTATGGAGATGGATAGGAGAGCTGAGCTAGGCAAGTTTTCTTTCTTCCCCAACCCTTCCTAAGCTCGCTTACCTTTGCTTTGCTCTTCTGCTGCTCTGTACATGTCAGGAAGCAAGGGGTGTTACCTCTGTACGGGGACAACGGGCACGGCGCGGGGCACGGGTTCCCCTCCAGCCTGGTAGAACCCCTGGTGCCCGAGTTGCGGGAGCGCATTCGCGAGTCGCGCGCGTATCGTTCCTGCGCCATTAGGGGGTATCAGGTGTGGGCCTTGCTGAGGGAGGTTCCCAGCACACACCTTCCATCTCTCTCGCCTGCCATTGGCTCCCGGGGAGGGAAGCCTCCTGGTTGCCTCAGTGACCGAGGGGTGGTCTTACATCCCCTGGTTATAAAAACCTGGCCTGAGCTCTGGCTTGTTGCCTAGCCTCTCTGTTGGATCCTATCGTTACCTGTTACTCCCCTTCGTTTGCACTTCCTGATTACTGAACCCTTGGACTGTCTATCGCCTCTGAACCATCGCTGCCTGCCTCGACCCGGACTGGACTTCGACTACTCTCTTGGATTGCCCCTTTTTGTACTTCACTTCCGGACTCATCGGCCGCTTCCTGCCAGTGGGTTCCTTACCACGCTGCCAGCCCGCTGGTACGTCTGACAGTACACTGGCAGAAGATGAAGGAAATGCCCTTAACCTCCAGGTGTGGACTAGCATATCTGTGAAGGTTCTCATTACATAGGTCATGGTATAGCTAGTAGTAGCAGTCACATTCAACTGGACTTATTCTGCAATGTTGATGTTTCATAGCTTCTCCAAGCCACTTAAACTGAAGAAGCAGCTTCAAAAAGCTATGAAACGTCTTCGACATTCAGAACAAGTGCGCTTGAATGTCACCAGCGACTACTACTACTAGCTATGGAGGAGCATGTGACTTACTCCGTGGGACAGCACCAGGCCTCCGAGTGCCATCACATTGGGGAGTCCATAGCCCCTTGCAAGCTCCAGCTCCAGGAATTACACAGTGTACATTGATTTCAAGTGAAGGGTGTACATGGCTCGGATAAGAGAGTTGACGCTACGTACCTTGTCTCCTCTGTTGGACAGTGTTGCTTCCATGTCACTTTTAAGATGCACTGGAGGAGCAGCGTAGGGGAGTCTGCAGTGCACCTGCCCACACTGTACCTGACCTGCACAGCAACGTAGAACAATCTCAGCAAAAATCAACAAAACGGGTTGGTGCTTTACATAATAGTGTAATATAATAATAGGACGCGGGTTGAAAGAAGGTCAATTATCATCAAGATCAATGAATTTGTATAAAGTGTCATTCTGTCTAGAAGAAAGCAAAATAAACTCAAGTATGCTTCTGCTGATCAGGAGTTAAAAAGTGAAATTCAGTGCTGCTCCTCTTCTGGGTTGAATGATGCACGGCATCATACAAACCATTTCCTTAGGGTGTCAAGGCTCCACCCCCATGCCGCTCCCTGCAGCATAGACTCAAGCGAGAATGCTGCAGGGAGCGGCATTGTGTAATGATGTGGTGAATGCAAAGGAGCCATATAACAGCCATATAAAACATGTACCTTGATCAACGCATAGCACCATGTTTGATTTCTGCCTTGTCCAGCAATCAGCAGTGGAAACTGCCGGCCATTTACCACTCCATTACATAATTTGGGTATTTTACTTTTTTAATTATTTTATTATTTTGTACTTATTTTTCACTTAACCTTATTGCTATCACACAGGGGTTAGCAAGCCCCTGCGTGAAAGCATTTGGAGGTGACAGGTTATCTTTATTGAACCTGTCACCACCAATACAGGAGTTTATAGCACAGCACTGTGCTGGCTCTCCTGTGAGAGCTGAGAGGGGAAGGCTGCGAGTGCAGCTCTCCCCTCTTAGACCCCGTTCACATTGAGCACTCCTCAGGCGCCTTAAGCACATATATTTAAGCATTTTATTTATTCTTTATTTCTTTTTTTACTTTATCACTATTTTTATTTTCTTTACTTTTTTTAATTGTATTTATCTTATTTTATTTTACTTTTCATCATTTTTATTGAATTTTTTTTTTTACTTTTTATCATTTTTTTATTTTAATTATTATTTCTTATAACCGCGCAATGTCGCGCTCCAATGCAATCCAATGGGGCAAAGGGTCCTGCTGTCGCAGGTCGTGTGTCGCGATAAATCGCTCAATGTGAACGGGGTCTCACTGTTTACACGGAGCAGAGCGGAGATCAGACGTTCTCCGTTCTGCCCCCCACTTTCCATCCTGAACTTTACTTTGGTTCCCAGTCCCCCAGAAGAGGGGGGGACACTGTAAACCACGGCAGATAGTAAGGCAGCCAGTGGGCAGAGAGGCAGCCGGAGGTAGCGGTGGACCATGCGTGGGGGGGGGGACTGGGGGGGGACTAGCAGGCTTATTACAAGTGATCTCAGCGGCATCGCTGGGATCACTTGTACTAAAACACCGACTTCCCCGCCCTACATTTAGCCTTGTTTCCCTCAAGCAGGGCTAAATGTAGAATAAAAATACCCACCTGCGCCCAGAACTGCATGTCCTGGCCGATAGGATTTTAAAACCCCTGCCTAGGCTCGTGTGCCACCGAAGGGGCCTCTGCGTGCCCTCTGTGGCACGCGTGCCATATGTTCTCCACCACTCTCCTAGACTCACAAGAAGTGGCGCAATGATGCTGGTAGCAAATGATAGAGAATGCGGGCGCAGCACAGCACTAGAGCATGGAGACAGTGAGTAGTACTTGGCCATGGGGAAAAAGAAAGGAATTGTAAATGGGCTTTGAGTGTTCCTAGGTCAGTTCCCTGTTCATTGAACAGAATGATGATACTAATTAATTGTCCAATCAGGAGGGTGGAGGCAGTGGTGACATAAGAAGCTGAATTGCTGACCCTTATAGATAAATGGCTTCATTAGGCACTACCAGAGTCAACTGTCTGACTAAGTAAAGTGCAAAATGGGTTCAACTCATAGTTACATAGTCAGTCAGGTTGAAAAAAGACACAAGTCCATCGAGTTCAACCTATAGAGGTTGAACTCATGGTTGGCCGTACAGAATTACAAATGATCTGGCATGAATTTTATCTGTATAACTTATTGTTTGCCGGGAGCTTTGCTTTCTGGTTTACTGCTTCCCTTTACATCATTATAGTGGGATAGAATCATTACTTACTTTCTATATATCCATGTAGTGTGACCATCCTAGCTCTTTCCGGACTGTTGAAGGGGGAGAAGTGAATGTCATCTGACAGGGAGGAGGTGAGACGATTTGGGTTCGACCCCGGCGGAGGTCCTGCATGCTGTGGGGTGTGCTTTTTATGTCGCGCTCTGCAGTTCTGAAACCAAACCTGGAGAACGCAAAATTACATTGAGGACACATTGGACGGTAAATGAAGCAATAAAACATTGAGCAGGACACATTTTGATATGCAGACTGAAAAATAAAGACTCAACATCCATTGTAATTGCAGTTGGCCAAACGGGCATAAAGGAATGACTCCCTTTGCTCCATGTAATGTCCTACAATGATTTAGGTATTTGTGTTGGAATGAGACATGGAGATACCTTCTGAAGAAGGCTCTGCCATGTTCTTCACTGGTTCGGTGTTGGGTTTTTTGGTTACTATTGCCCATCTCATGTATCAGGTTATACTTTCATGTTTGTCCCAAGGTCTACTCCTTATATCCAATGGCTTCCATACATTGCACTGATGTTGATGGCCAACACATGTCAAAGAGCTGTATGCAATTTGGGATAAATGGTTCTACAATATCAGGCTGGATCTGTACTGGAAGTCAAACGGTTGTGGATGTAGAGTTGGTCAAAAGAATACCAGGAAGTCAAACAGAGTCTGCGGAAGGTTGGGAACCTTTGGCCTGGGAGCCAGAGGTACCGTGCACCCCCAGCATCCCTACCCAAACCAGGGGTGTCCCGAGGCCAGGTGTCACCCGGAGCAGATACTGGGTGACTCTCCGTCGCGACATTATCACGCATGCGCGTGACATCACCACACGCGATTACGTCATCGCACGTGTACGGTTATCTTTTGGATACCTGCCTGCGGCCATCTTGGTGATGGATGCCGGCAAAGCGAGGAGGAGACGTTCACCCGGCGGGATAAGGTATGCCGCCGGGTCCCCTCCTCTCTCTCCTGCAACTGTCAGGCTCTCGGTCCATGACCAAGTGCCCGACTTTTCAGAGGGGGTGACACCAAAATGACTGTCACCCTGATTCGGGCCGCACCCCCCTTGTGACGCCACTAACCCAAACCCCCTTGGCAAGGTGCATCGTCAGCCCTATCCTTTACAACCTAACCCTCGCCCAGTAACATGCACAACCAGACGCACCCCCCCCCCCCCCCCCCCCCGGCGTAAAAAAAAA